TTGATGAACTTTTCTCGTATGTTACACAAGTACAAGTTGACCAGTTTTACAAATGTTGTTATAACTGAGGTGAATGCCTGTCGATTGCTAAGCCAACTCTGGAAATGCACCACAGGCACTCACAGGAGTCACTGAAGCTGTCCTTGACGCATTCCGTCCTTCTCCAGAGAGAGTCAACAGGAGAGAGAGCTCGGATGTCAGTCAAGCTGAGCCACAGCCTGGGACGGATGCACCAAGCCAAGAATCAGAACACCATGTATCAGATAGATGGGTCCAGCTGTCCATGTAATATCTGAGTGACTTCGAAGGGTGACTGTGTAAATAGATCGAATACTAGTAACCTTTGAATGTCACGTACGATAGCCACCTTGTTGGGTTGAGTGTTTCTGTTAATTTCAATTTTAATCGTTCCTTTGACCTACTGTTAGTACTGCTGAGTCAAATTTGTATTGTGCGTAGTCAATTAGGACTCAATGAAGCTTACTATATGCAATAAGTCGAGTAAGCTTTCAGCGGGAGGACACCCCAATCCCAATTCAGCATAGTGAATGTCATCACAGTTAATGATAGTGAATGCCATCACAGTTAATGATAGTGATGCCATCACAGTTAATGATAGTGAATGTCAACACAGTTAATGATAGTGAATGCCATCACAGTTAATGATAGTGAACGCCATCACAGTCCAGGATAGTGAATGTCATCACAATTCAGGATAGTGAATGCCATCAAAGTCCAGGATAGTGAATGTCATCACAGTTCAGGATAGTGAATGTCATCAAAGTCCAGGATAGTGAATGCCATCACAATTCAGGATAGTGAATGCCATCACAGTCCAGGATAGCGAATGTCATCACAATTCAAGATGGTGAATGCCATCACAGTCCAGGAGAGTGAATGTCATCACAATTCAGGATAGTGAATGCCATCACAGACCAGGATAGTGAATGTCATCACAATTCGGATAGTGAATGCCATCACGGTTAATGATAGTGAATGTCATCACAGTAAATGATAGTGGATGTCATCGCATTTAATGATAGTGAATGTCATCACAGTTAATGATAGTGAATGTCATCATAGTGAATGATAAGTGAATGTCATCACATTTAATGAAAGTGAATGCCATCACAGTTAATGATAGTGAATGCCATCACAGTTAATGACAGTGAATGTCATCACAGTTAATGATAGTGAATGTCATCACAGTTAATGATAGTGAATGCCATCACAGTTAATGATAGTGAATGCCATCACAGTTAATGATAGTGAATGCCATCACAGTTAATGATAGTGAATGTCATAACAGTTAATGATAGTGAATGCCATCACAGTTAATGATAGTGAATGCAATCAAAGTTAATGATAGTTATTGTCATCACAGTTAATGATAGTGCATGTCATCACAGTTAATGATAGTGAATGTCATCACAGTTAATAATAGTGAATGACATCACAGTTAATGATAGTGAATGCCATCACAGTTAATGATAGTGAACGCCATCACAGTTAATGATAGTGAACGCCATCACAGTCCAGGATAGTGAATGTCATCAAAGTCCAGGATAGTGAATGTCATCAAAATTCAGGATAGTGAATGCCTTTAAAGTCCAGGATAGTGAATGTCATCACAATTCAGGATAGTGAATGCCATCATAGTCCAGGATACTGAATGTCATCACAATTCAAGATAGCGAATGCCATCACAGACCAGGATAGTGAATGTCATCACCATTCAGGATAGTGAATGCCATCAGAGTCCAGTATAGTGAATGTCATCACAATTCAGGATAGTGAATGCCATCACAGTCCAGTATAGTGAATGTCATCACAATTCAGGATAGTGAATGCCATCACAGTCCAGTATAGTGAATGTCATCACAATTCAGGATAGTGAATGCCATCAAAGTCCAGGATAGTGAATGTCATCACAATTCGGGATAGTGAATGTCATCACAATTCAGGATAGTGAATGTCATCACAATTCAGGATAGTGAATGCCATCACAGCCCAGGAGAATGAATATCATTACAATTCAGGATAGTGAATGCCATCACAGACCAGGATAGTGAATGTCATCACAATTCAGGATAGTGAATGCCATCACAACTCAGGATAGTGAATGTCATCACAATTCAGGATAGTGAATGTCATCACAATTCAGGATAGTGAATGCCATCACGGCCCAGGATAGTGAATGCCATCACAATTCAGCATTGGAATGTCATCACAATTCAGGATAGTGAATGCCATCACAGTTCAGGATAGTGAATGTCATCAGAATTCAGGATAGTGAATGTCATCACAATTCAGGATAGTGAATGCCATCACAGCCCAGGATAGTGAATGCCATCACAATTCAGCATTGGAATGTCATCACAATTCAGGATAGTGAATGCCATCACAGTCCAGGATAGTTAGTGTCATCACAATTCAGGATAGTGAATGCCATCACAACTCAGAATAGTGAATGTCATCACAATTAAACATAGTGAATGTCATCACAATTCAGGATAGTGAATGCCATCACAACTCAGAATAGTGAATGTCATCACAATTAAACATAGTGAATGTCATCACAATTCAGGATAGTGAATGCCATCACAAGTTTGGATACTAAATGTCATCACAGTCCAGGATAGTAAATGCCATCACAATTCTTGACAATGAATGAGAACACAGCTCATGATAGTGAATGCCATCAAAATTCATGATGGTGAATGCAACACAGTTCATGATAGTCATTGCTGCCATAAGTCAGGATATTGAATGCCATCACACTTCATGATTCTGAATGCCAACACAGTTCATGATAGTGAATGTCATCATAGTTCATGATAGTGAATGCAACACAGTTCATGATAGTCATTAACATCATAATTCAGGATAGTGAATGCCATCACAGTTCATCATGGTGAATGCCAACACAGTTCATGATAGTGAATGTCATCATAGTTCATCATGGTGAATGCCAACACAGTTCATGATAGTGAATGTCATCATAGTTCATGATAGTGAATGCAACACAGTTCATGATAGTCATTAACATCATAATTCAGGATAGTGAATGCCATCACAGTTCATCATGGTGAATGCCAACACAGTCCAGGATAGTGAATGCCATCACAATTCATGTTAGTGAATATCATCACAGTCCAGGATAGTGAATGCCATCACAGTTCAGGAAAGTTAAAGACATCACAGTCCAGGAAAGTAAAAGACATCACAATTCATGATAGTGAATATCATGACAATTTAATATAGTGAATGCCATCACAGTCCAGGATAGTGAATGCCAGCATTGTCCAGGATAGTGAACGCCATCACAATTCATGATAGTGAATGCAAACACAATTCATGTTAGTATATGTCAACACAGTTAATGATATTGAATGCCAACACAATTCATGTTAGTAAATGCCAACATAGTTCATGATTATGAATATCATCACAATTCAGGATAGTGAATACCATCACAGTTCATGATAGTGAATGCCAACACAGTCCATGTTAGTAAATGCCAACATAGTTCATGATTATGAATATCATCACAATTCAGGATAGTGAATACCATCACAGTTCATGATAGTGAATGCCAACACAGTCCATGTTAGTAAATGCCAACATAGTTCATGATTATGAATATCATCACAATTCAGGATAGTGAATACCATCACAGTTCATGATAGTGAATGCCAACACAGTCCATGTTAGTGAATGCCAGTTCATGATAGTGAATGAAATCAAACTTCATGATAGTGAATATCATGACAATGTAGGATAGTGAAGGCCATCACAGTCGAGCATAGTGAATGTTTTACACAGTCCAGGAAAGTGAATATCATCACAGTTCAGGATAGTGAATGTCCTCATAGTTCATGTTAGTGAATGCCATCACATTTCAGGATAGTGAATGTCATCACAATTGAGGATAGTGAATTCCATCACAACTCTTCACAATGAATACCATCACTGTCCAGGATAGTTAATGCTTGGCATAAAAAATTGGGATAGTGAATGTCATCACAGTCCAGGAAAGTGAATGCCAACCCAATTCATGATAGTGAATGTCATCATAGTTCATGATAGTGAATGCAACACAGTTCATGATAGTCATTAACATCATAATTCAGGATAGTGAATGCCATCACAGTTCATCATGGTGAATGCCAACACAGTCCAGGATAGTGAATGCCATCACAATTCATGTTAGTGAATATCATCACAGTCCAGGATAGTGAATGCCATCACAGTTCAGGAAAGTTAAAGTCATCACAATTCATGATAGTGAATATCATGACAATTTAGGATAGTGAAGGCCATCACAGTCCAGCATAGTTAATGTTTTACACAGTTCGTGATAGTGAATATCATCACAGTTCAGGATAGTGAATTTCCTCACAGTTCATGTTAGTGAATGCCATCACAGTCCAGGATAGTGAATGCCATCACTATTCAGGATAGTGAATGCAAACACTGTTCATAATAGTGAATGCATTCACAATGCAGGATAGTGAATGTCAACACAGTCCAGGAATCTCAATTCAAGATAGTAAATACCGGCAATGAATGCATTCACAATTCAGGATACTGAATGTCATCACAGCCCAGGATAGTGAATGTCATAACAATTCAGGAAGGTGAATGCCATCACAGTCCAGGATAGTGAATGCCATCACAGTTTTGCTGCCAGCGTTAGCAACATGCTTTTTTATGAAAATTGTATGAGTGATCGGCAGTACATCAAGAGGCATTACCAGTATCAGTATTGATGTTCGATGACGTGAACCTCATGATTGTATTTATATAAGATCCCGCTAATCAAATACACAATCATGTGTATGCATGTGAAAAATGTCGCTGGCCCAAGACAAACTGATCTGACTAAGAAATACGATAACAGTCTTCTATAACATTTACAGTTAACTCATCTCGGGCAGACACTCCTTATTTCCCTGTACAGTGTAGGTTTTTGTCGTAATAAAGGTTGTCTCACTCACCTTCACGCAAATAAATACCATCAACACTCAGTTCACGTCCGACAAGGTGGCGGACACAGCTCTGATGTGCGAGTGTTATGTATGACTCTCTCCAGCTTCTCGATAAGAAACTGATAAGCGTCTACACTACACTACAGGTTGGTGATAACAAACAGCACACCAGCATATCACACATACAAACAACTATTTGATTGATGTAATCGTAAAGAAGACATAATCAATTTTTAATTCTTTAAGATTTTGCAATGAACAAATGGACAGATTGTACAATACCAAGGTTAGTATCAGTAGATGTTATGGCATTTCCATATAATACTGAATCCAAGTCATATCCCTTTATATAGTAGTACAGGTTGCAGTAGTTGCGACATGAAAAGAAGTGTTGGATCCTCATAATGATATCCACAGGAGCAGGTAGTAGACTCATGAATATGTATATTTGTTTATAAATGCACACTACCTCGACGGTTGAGTATGGAAGCACATTAGGCAATGTACATACAGTTTATGGGCTACTGCATATGTTGTTCATCCAAAAGAAATAAAAGGTCATTATTGCAGATTGATTTGACTGTTATTTAAATGCACAGTCCGCGATAGTCCAGCTATATGACGTCTGAGGGCACAGGTGGCCCAGTCGTCTGAGGCGTCGCGATTCGCTGTGCAGAGTTGCGTCCCTTGGGCACGCCAGACACCTATGATTGTGGGTTTGAATCTCGGTTCGCCCCAGATATTTTTACAGGATTTACAGCACCATACCCTTGCTCGTGGGTTTCACTGAAGTGGTAAACGTATGAGACCTGCATCACTGACACGCAGTAATATAACTGCAATACTGTTAAAAGTGGGGTTTAATCCAATTCACTCACTCACTCACTCACTCACTCACTCACTCACTCACTCACGTCTGTAAATAATCTATTCATAAAAGTCAGTGGTGATACCGTTGCCACATACTTATCCTAAGTATAGTGAACGCAGTAATGGCCTAACAAGGGCACAGAGAGACAAAATGGGATCGAACATAAGACATAAGTCATATTGCATGTAGAGCGGTTATTACCAGGACACTGGTAGGCGTCGACCACGAGTGTGACTAGGGGTCCCGGAGTCGACTGCTACCCCGGGTGTCTCTCTTCTCTCTCACCAGTACAATTATAGGGATTTATGCATGACAGTGAATGCATTTACAGAAGTACCACAACATTCTGATTGGACAATATGTGCAATTAATATGATACAGTTTAATTCAAACGGAGAGGAATATATTGACTTTAACTGATTGACATTTATGATTATCTATCTACAATGAAGACGTAACATGAATAACAGGTGGCATGTCGCTTGAGGCGTCAATCAGCAGTCCTTAAATAGGAATGACGGACATATTCAAAACGAGACGAACAGGACAAGCTGTAACACTTATTAAATCACCCAGCTTCCACCTCACATTTCTACTGTACAAGCTATATGATAGTTAATACGTAATAGAATTCAAATTGACAAAGAAAATTATCTAATAGAAGTTTTATTGTGTGACGTCAGCGCAAGCAAGGTTTTACTTTAATGATTTAGCCTTTTACTCTATATTTCTTTATGCTCATAGGTTTTGTAAATCTGAAATGCACGTTTGTATATACATGTGCTATGTCAAATCTGTGCAATACAGCGTATACCTGCATTAACTGATAAGCGTTATCTCTCTCCGTTGAAACATCAGTAACAACGCGATTGTGTATCGCGGCTGGGGATTCTTAAACGACCTAGTTCAATCTCTAGTGGCAATGTACCGCAACGTAACTTCGCTCGTGTTCTGCGTTGATTCCGGGTTATGGGCGTTTTGCTCGGCGTTGAGGCCATATTTAAAGAGCCTGTATGTTCGTAGCTTGTTTCCATTAATAATTTTCTGTTTGAGTAGCTCGATCTGACTGTTAGAAATGATGTATATATCAAGAATATGGATATTAGGCTCAGTCAACATGGATATAACTGTGTTTGTCCACAATTTAAGGAATCTTGTTGAACAATCACTCAGTCCTGGCCAATATTGATTGACGGACAGACACTTTTTTACCAAAATCGGATAATCTAGATCCGCTGTAAAGTAGATGGTAATAGCAAACCCATTTCACCACGAACAGCCACATTTGATGTTTTACATCCCACTCCCATGACACATCTACAAGCTCGATTTTGAACAACGTTTATACATCTGAATTCTCAGATCCGTAAGAAAGCATGGGAAGGACTTTGTGTACTTTGAATTTCCTATCATTTTCCGTCACTCGGTCATGAACGTAAAGCATAAATAATGTTTGGAATTCGTTATCATTCGTATTTCCAGTGTACAAGCATGGGTTGGGTTATGTATAACTGACTTACAGTATATTGTTTTGATATCAATTTACCCGAATGAATGAAACAAGTTATCCTTTTAAAACAGAAAGTTAATGACGTAGCTGTATGTCAATAACTAACAAAACTTCTGTAATATCGAGCATGACCTTATGTTATGCCTTATTTCAGACATGGGTGTCCAGGACTACACAATATGTGAGAGGGGGACGTACGAGCAGCGTACGATATTGATGGACCGATATTGAATAAACCGAGTCACGCACACTGATACCCCCCCTACACACACACACACACACACACACACACACACACACACACACACACACCTTTCCTGATGTATCTTCCCCCACGGCGGAGGTCCAGCATGTATATTAGCTGCTCTGTCAGACATAGATGATATTCGTCGTTACACGGGGAATACTGAAAGACGGATTGTGGTGTCACAGAATATATGTATTTCGAAGCAATGAAACACCGTTTTAGTTACGACTAGCTATCATGGTTTAAAGGCATATCGTCTTTCTATCCTACCTCGGAAATAGAAATATGTAGCTGACACGAAACTAATGATTGTGTGTAATGTTTTAATCATAAAAATTAACAGGTTATGTCCAGTAAAGAAAAGACGACACATCAAAAACTGTTATCAGTGTACGTTCGATACAGGTCCCCGTTATAATCAGTTTAACGATAAGATGAGACAGTTCGTGCAACATGGGCTTTATCACTTTAGATGCCACGCTCCCGTCAGAATCAGTGCAGTGAGAATATTTATAAGTCAGGTCGAGATGACATGGGTAGAGTAGCATCAGATTACATGATGCACCTGATGATAACAGGGATTGGTAACTATAAAGCAGACAAGTCTAACGCCACGTAGGTTGAAACCCATGACGAAACAACATGCTGACAACAATAGGATCATTATCAGAAACAATCTGGAATTCGAACTAATATAATCCAATCCTGAAACTTCTGAGGCACAAAACTCTACAAAGAAAATTGCGGCGTCAAGACCCGTGGATATGGGACAATGAAAAACAAGAAGAACAACAATAGATTTATGTGGTGTAGAAATCACACTTTTTAAATGTAGCACACCGAACCCACGTACACAATCTGTGTTGCTAACGTATTCAATCATGTATATGTTCCTACATACACACTATCATTGGGCCCATGTGGTTCACATCTATTCCATGGTATATATGTTCCTAAAGAAACACTATCATAAAATTAGGCCCATGTGGTCCAAATCCTTTTCATGCTATATGTGTTCCTACAGAAACACTATCATTGAGGCCAAGTGGTTCACATGTATCCCATGCTGTATTTGTTCCTACAGAAACACTATCATTAGGCCCATGTGGTTCGACTCTATTCCATGCTACATGTTCTCCTACAAAAACACTATCATTGGGGCCAAGTGGTTCAAATGTATTCCATGCTATATATATTCCTACAGAAACACTATCATTGGGGCCAAGTGATTCACATTTATTCCAAGGTATATATGTTCCTACAGTAACACTAACATTGGGGCCAAGTGGTTGACATCTATTCCATTCCATGGTGAATATGTACCTACAGAAACACCATCATTGGGGCAAAATGGTTCACACTAATTCCATGGTATATTTGTTCCTACAGAAACACTATCATTTGGGCCAAGTGGTTCAAATGTATTCAATGGTATATATCCTGCTACAGAAACACTATCATTGAGGCCATGTGGTTCAGATCTATTCCATGGCATATATGTTCCTACAGAAACACTATCATTGGGCCCAAGTGGTTCACACCTATTCCATGCTATATATGTTCCTTACAGAAACACTATCATTGGGGCCAAGTGTTTCACATTTATTCCGGGTATATATGTTCCTACAGAAACATCTATCATTGGGCCCAAGTGGTTCACACCTATTCCATGCTATATATGTTCCTACACAAACACTATCATTGGGCCCATGTGGTTCACATCTATTCCATGGTGTATATGTTCCTACACAAACACTATCATTGGGGCCAAGTGTTTCACATTTATTCCGGGTATATATGTTCCTACAGAAACACTATCATTGGGCCAAGTGTTTCACATTTATTCCGATTATATATGTTCCTACAGAAACACTATCATTGGGCCAAGTAGTTCACCTCTATTCCATGGTATATATGTTCCTACAGAAACGCTATCATTGGGCCCATGTGGTTCACCTCTATTCCATGCTATATATGTTCCCAAAGTAACACTATCATTGGGGCCCATGTGGTTTAAATATATTCCATGCTATATATGTTCCTACAGAAAAACAATTATTGGGCCCCTGTGAGTCACCTCTATTCCATTGTATATATGTTTCTACAGACACACTATCATTAGGGCCAAGTGATTCAAATTTATTCCATGGTGTGTATCTTCCTACAGAAACACTATCATTGGGCCCATATGTGGTTCAAATGCATTTAATACTATATATGTTCCTACAGAAACAAACACTATCATTCGGTCCATGTGGTCTACATCTATTTCATGCTATATATGTTCCTACGGAAACACTATCATTGGGCCCATGTGGTTCACATCTATTCCATGGTACATATGTTCCTACAGAAACACTATCATTGAGACCATGTGCTTCACCTCTATTCCATGATATATATGCTCCTACAAAAACACCATCATTTGGGCCAAGTAATTCCCATCTATTCCATTCCAC